TGTGTGTGTGTGTGTGTGTGCACGCATGCAACGACGAAACTTGAAGTAAACTTTGGAAAAATCCAACTTTCAGAAGATATCGAGACTTTTTTCCATGTCCTTCCGTCAGTCGTCCCATGAGGGGGCCTCTTTCTAAGCCAGGAATCAATCAAATACACTTATATGAAATGTATCAAGTGTCAGGCCTATTGTGGAGTAACATCGTAGTATAACCGACTGGTACAATATAATAACACCCTGGCGATACATGGCGAATACCAATGTCTCGTGGTTCAAAACATTAATAATATATCACTCACTAAGGTGTGTTCTTTTTATTGAGATCTTGGTTCTTTTATTGAGCTTGAACAAGCGAGCGAATCTTCTTCTACAAAAGGTCCTTGGTCACTCACGTCCCATTTTGTATTGATTGACAAGCACGTTCGGACATTCACTTGGGGCTCTCGCGGCCTTGGGGTTAAGGTGTTCGCCTCTCATTCAAGGGTCGCGAGTTCGAATCCGGGTAGCGACAGGGAAATTTTCTTCTCTATAATTGTCTCCTTTCACCTCCTTTCCTGCTCTCCAGCAATATTCTGTCGTCTGTTTTCGTCTCCTCTTACTTCCCCCAGCCCCTCACCTCCTTTGCCCCTCCCCTGGGCTCCTGACTCTTTCTGCAGCCTTTCTACTGCTACTCCTTGGCCCCTTCTTACTGTTGTCTTTCAGCCACACCCCTGATTTTCTGGTAAGAAAGATCTACACCTAGCCTTCTCGGACAAGGGCGAAAAATCTCGGAGGGACACAGTTTAGATCATGCAAGGTAGGAGCGGGCACGAGCCGAGAAGAGTACCCGTTTCTCACGAGAAATGCCCTTCCCGTCACTTCCCGGTACCGAGAAGTGATATCGCTCGTTGGCTTGACACAACGAGTAACGAGAGTGAGAGAGTGAGAGGTGTCGATGGAAAGAGCGGCACAGCCAGCGAGAAATGACAAGCAGACCAAGCAGACAGTGTCACCCATCACCGTACCGTCTGAAACTGAAAAGGAGGGGAGAGGGTGGCGAGACGAGGGAAGTGGGGAGTTGATCAGGGCCTTCCTTCACCGCCTGCGCGACAGGGCTAACCTAGTTTAGATCCCCGCCACGGCCGGCCTTCTCGCTAAGCGAGCTACTCGTCAACGGCGCGAGAAGAGAAATCTCGGCCACGGCCGGCCTTCTCGCCCAGCGAGCTGCACGTCCAACGGCGCGAGAAGAGAAATTGGTCTGGAGCACATAATTCTACACTTAGAATTCTGTGGTCTGGAGACGAAAAGCACTTCTCGGGACAGGTACCGGTCCCGGCGAGAAGTAGGTCAGCTTCTCGGTCTTCTCGCCCAGGAAGAAAAAAGTGCTTCCCGCCCGTCTCTAATGCAAGGTAGCAAGAGGCCCACTGTTTTGACACTACAAACTGTACTAGCTGAGGATAGCCTAGAACAATACTGAATGAGAGACACCCTAGGCATAATAAGTGGTCTTAGTAGGCCTGGTTGTTTAGGTTTCACTCATCTCTTTGCCCCCCCCTCCAAAGTCCAAACCCTTACTCCAATAATTAAACTCTAAAGCCTGCTGACCCTTCATAAACCCAGCCCGCAACCCCCCCCCCCCTTTCCAAATCTCAAACCTGAGTCTGTAATCTATGTCTATTATATTGGCAACTGATCCCAAACCAAAGAATTTATTTAGTAGATCTAGATTTACTAGAGTTCGTGGCAGTGATGTCCCCCACGTAAACGAACGGGGGCTGCGTGTGCCCACTCTGGGACGCTGAACCTCAAGAGCAAGACATGCGCAGTTCAACAGACGGGTGAGTAGGGGCCTACTTGGAGACTCACGTGGGGGCGTCTCGGAGGTCAAGGAGGAAATATACAAGCATACACTGAAATACGGGGACAGGGTGGTGTTTAGTAAATTAGAGCTCATGGGGAGCGGGGTTGGGGGCAATGATTATAAATACCGGTATTTACGGTCTCTGGTTGGGGACTCAGATTGTTCATATAAATAGGGGCACGCTAGTCATGCCGACGAGGGTAAGAAGCGCCGCCTCACCCCCCCCCCCCCCATTAGACACGTGGAATGTTGTACGGTCTCTAGTAATATAGTATAACATGTATAACCTCTTTGTCCCAAACCCGATTAACCCTTGACCTTCCCACTTTACTAACCCTGAACTCTTAAACCCAAACCTAAAAATCCTTCTATCTTCATGATAAACCCTGATATTATCCCAAACCTAAGCCTCTAACCCAAATCATCCCTTATCCTTACTCTCCACCAGCCCCCCCCCCCCCCCCCCCCAAAAAAAAAAAAATAAAAACACCATCCCCTTGATCATTCCTTAGAATCTACCAAAATTACGTAGTGCAGTTTGTAGGCCTATCCAACCTGCACTATTCATAACCCTCCAAACTTTTAAACGATGAAATATGTGATGAAATTTGGTGGGCCGTTTCATTTAGCGTATAATCAGTTAATAAATAAATGTAAAAACTAAGATGTTTTGTACATACAATGGATTATGCATCTTAGTTTGTTTTTGTTTTTTTGGTCAAAGATTTCTTCCATACACATATTTTGATATAAATTTTAACCACTTGGAAATGGAGTGTTTTTGAAGTCTTCCCGCATGCAGTAACTGTTTCAAGAAACGGTAAATGCCAACAAGATGTTATTTAAATTTTTACTAATCTTGTCCAAACATTAAAAGGAAGTAATACATGGGTAAACTTCGATTACAGCAGTGGGCACAAAATAACACGGTAGGTACAAGAAATCTCTTGAGATCATGTCACGACCATATAAAACAAATTGTAATTTCATGCATATATGGCACCGCAGACTCTGTTCTAAAGACAGCCCTGACCACCAAGCCACTCAAACCGTACTGAGTCAATAAACAATTTTGCATTTAGGTCTATAATTTTCTGACTCGAAGCAAGCTGGGGCAATGGGTCTTACAAAAACATGCCAGAGTCTGCGAGAGCGCAAAACTGAATTCGGCCTAAATTATTACTTGATGATACCCCCTTCAAGGTGAGCTAACCAACCGCGTCTCTGTTGCCGTACTGAAAGCGTGATCCGAATAAAGTTTCAAGTTGAGAATTCTCGTAGGTGAAGATCATCATAACTAAAAAAAATGCACACCCTTGACTTCTTCATTCATAAAAAAAAAAATGCAGCATAATAGCAGAACTGAAAAAAAAAGTGCCAGCGTGATATACTAAAAGAAGCATGTAGTGACCCCTAAGATAAACTATCTGCCTTTATCTCACTCGCAAAATAAAGAAACGACGAGAGCGCAGTGTCTCGAATTATTATCAGGTCCTATAATCTAGTAATCGGTTTTTAAAATGTTTTTTAAAAGGTAACATCTGAAAACGTAGATTTTAGCTATTTGTTCTCAACCATGAGTCAAATGAAATGTGCGCGAGATCTTAAAATTGTTTTTCCCTTTCGCCTCTTTATTCAGAGGGGGCAGGCTGGCCTCGCCAGAGTGAACTACAGAGGTCAAAGGTGAACATGTCACGGTCACATTCCTTACGCGCAACCGTAACTTTTTTCCACTGGTAGGGGGCATTGGTGGTGGCAGTGAAAATAAGATGGGGGCGCTGCGTGGCACCTGCCGATGTATGCAAATCAGGTTCCATTTCCCATATTACCTTGCAAAAATTCGGCGGTGGACTGTTGGTCGACCGTGGTGAGCGAAAAACTTCGACGCCAAATTATCCGTTTAATCAAGTCTTCAATAATGATTTAATGAACGGTCAAGTGGCAGGACTGATAAACACACATGTTCATAGAGATGCCTAAATGATAAATGTATAATACCCTCGTCCTAACCCTCACCCCTAACTTTTCAATATTAATGGTGTCGTGGGGG